CGATAAGAGGGACACCCCCAAGTGGGGGGGCGTGGGGGGAGCACAGGCACGAGGGGGGCAGACACGGTAGGGGACACGGGAGCGGCAACACGGGTGGGGGACAGGCACGGGGGGGGAAAACGACAAGCAGGGGCGCGGCCACGGGGCGGGGTGACAACCGGGGGACACCGGGACAAAGGGACACCGGGGAGTGGGGGACACGGGCGAGCCTGGGATGTGGGGACAGGGGATATCAGGATGGGGGACACCGGCACGTGGGGGGGATTGGAATGCCGGGACAGGGCGACACGGGGACATCGGGACACGGGGATGCTGGGACAGTGGGGCATCAGGGCGTGGGGATACTGGGACACCGGGAAGTGGGGACACTGGGGCAGTGGCACATCGTGTCACCCGGACGTGGTGACACTGGGGCATTGGGAGAGGTGACAGAGGACAGGGAGAGGGGAGGGGGACGGGACAGGGACACGGACGGACGGGGCGGGAAGGTCACGCACTGCGGCGGGACCGCACTGGGACGGGTTGGAGTGGAACAGAGGTGTACTGGGACGGGTTTATACTGGGATGAGTTTATACTGGGATGGATCCGTACCGGGGTGGGGCTGTGCTGGGATGGGGCTGTGCTGGGACAGGCTTACACTGGGACGGGGCTGTACAGGGATGGGTTTATACTGGGACAGGGCTGTACTGGGAAGGGGCTGTACTGGAATGGATTTATACTGGCGCGGGTCTTTCCTAGGGTGGGGCTGCACTGGGATGGGATTGTACTGGGAGGGAGCCGTACCGGGATGAGTTTATACTGGGATGGATCCGTGCTGAGCTGGAGCTGTACTGGGATGAAGCTGTAGTGGGATGGGGCTGTACCGGGACTGGGATCTATTGGGATGGATCTGTACTGGGATGAGCTTAGACTGGGACTGGGCTATACTGGAATGGGGCTGTACTGGGATAGACATATTCAGATGGGCGGGGAGTTATGGTAGGACTGGTTTATACTGGGATGGGTTTATACTGGACTGGTTTATACTAGGATAGGCTTATATTGGACTGGTTTGTACTGGACTGGCTTATACTGGGATAGGCTTATACTGGACTGGTTTGTAATGGGCTGGTTTGTACTGGATTAGTTTGTAATGGACTTGTTTATACTGGGATAGGCTTATACTGGGCTGTTTTTTACTGGGATGGGTTTATACTGGGCTGGTTTGTACTGGGATGGGTTTATAATGGACTGGTTTGTAGTGGACTGGTTTATACCGGGATAGGCTTATACTGGACTGGTTTGTACTGGGGTGGGTTTGTACTGGGATGGGTTTATACTGGACTGGTTTGTACTGGGATGGGTTTATACTGGACGTTTGTAGTGGACTGATTTGTACTGGGATGGGTTTATACTGGAGTGGTTTGTAGTGGACTGGTTTGTAATGGGATAGGTTTATAATGGACTGGTTTGTAGTGGACTGGTTTGTAATGGGATAGGTTTATACCGCACTGGTTTGTTCTGGGATGGGTTTATACTGGATTGGTTTGTACTGGGATGGGTTTGTACTGGGATGGGTTTATACTGGACTGGTTTGTAGTGGACTGGTTTGTACTGGGATGGGCTTATACTGGATTGATTTGTACTGGGATGGGTTTATACTGTATTGGTTTGTACTGGGATGGGTTTATTTTGGACTGTTTTGTACTGGACTGGCTGTTCCTGTCGTGCTGTTCCGGTACCGCCAGGTGGCGCCATTTCACTTTCCCGTTCAGGCTGAGGGAGCCCCGTGGGACCAGTACGGACCAGTACGGACCAGTACGAACCAGTACGGACCAGGACGGACCAGGACGGACCAGGACGGACCAGTATGGACCAGGACGGACCAGTACGGACCAGTACTGACCAGTATGGACGAGTACAGACTGGTAGAGACCGGTACGGACCTGTACAGACAGGTACAGACCTGTACGGACCGGTACAAACCAGTACAGATCAGTACCACTCTGCAGACCCAGCAGGACTCCTGCATCGCACAAAGACCCCCAGAACCTGCCAGATACACTCAGGGAACTGCAGGGACCCCCAGAGATCCCCAGAACCCCCCAAAGCCCACCTTGAACCCCCTCAGACGTACCCAGACACTCCCAGGACCCCACAGAGCCCCCCCAAACACCCCAAACGGATCCAGGGATCTCCAGGGACCCCCTGAGCCCTTCCTGGAACAGAGAAGGGGGTCGGGCTGGGACAGAGCCAGGGGAGAGGGACAGGGCCAGGCACAGCCCTCCCTCCTCCCCAGCCCCGCCCCCCATTAATTACGATCGTTGTCCGGCCCTAAT